GAGACCCAACTTAATTAGTATAAATGTTGCCGTGTAACTTCTAATAATGAGTGTAATTTGCAGTGCCAGCTCACCATGTAATTTCGTACAATGGGACCTGCAGAATGTAGGACTAGTATTTAATCAAGAGAAATGATTAATATGGAAGGGGGAAGTTTGGAGCTTGGAAGCCTGCAGGGGGCCCCGTGTGCCCGCTGGGACACCCCCATCTTCAGCAGCGGTTCCAAGGCCCCACGCACCCCAACCCAGAGTGTCCGCCCCATCCCCCCGAGGAAGCAGTGTCATCTGAGCTGTGTGACTACCCCACGTCACTTGGTGTTTCTGTGCTATTTCCTCACCCAGAAAGGGAGGGTACTGATGGACCCACTCTCTTATTCTTGTGGTGGGGGATTAAAGGGGTTGATGATGGAAAGCACTCAGTACTTAGCACTGAGTACACAGCACTCAACAGATTTTGCTTACTCCCACTTCTGCAAGTGTTATTGTGGATCTTGGAAGCCAAAGTGGGGAGGGTGCCTTTTATCCCAAAGCATAGGATGTGGTGGTCCTCGGATGATCTTTCTTTACTGAGATAAGATTCATGTAACATAATATTGGCCATCTTAAAGAGAACAATTCAGGAGCCCTTACTATGTCCATAATGTTGTGTAACTACTATCTCTACCTAGTTCCAACATATTTTCCTCACCCCAAAAAGAACCACCTGTGCCCATTTGCAGTTGCTCCCCATCTCTCCCTCCCCCCAGCCCCTGGCAACCACAAAGCTTCGTTCTGTCTCTATTGATTTACCTCTTATGGGTATTTCGTATAAATGAAATCATATGATCTGCGACCTTTTTGTCTGACTTCTCTCCCTTGAACAATATATTTATCATGCCCTAGCATGTGTCCATACTTCCTTCCTTTTCATGGCTGAATAATATCCCACCATGTGATAGACCACACTTCCCATTCATCCACCGATGGATGTTGTTTTCTGCCTTTCGTCTATTGTGGATAGTGCTGCTAGGAATATTTAGGTACCAGTTTTTATTTGAGCACCTGTTGTGAGTTCCTTCAGGTATATGCCCAGGGCTGGGATTACTGGGTGCCACTATGACTCTCTGTTTACCTTTCTGGGGAGTTGCCAAAGTTGCCCACAGTGGTTGCACCATTTTGCATTCCCATCAGCTGTGTATGAGGGTTTGAGTTCTTTCACATCCTCACCAACCCTTGTTAGTTTCTTTCTTTCTTTCTTTCTTTCTTTTTTTAAATTATAGTCACCCTAGTGGGTGTGAAGTGGTGGGTGTGATTGTGGGTTTGCTGTGCATTTCCCTACTGATCGGTGGGCATTGAGCATCCTTTCTTGTGCTTGCTGGCCATTCACCGGTTTTCTCTGGAGACATGTCCGCTCAAGGTCTTTGTTCATTTTGTTGACTATTTGTCTTGCTGTTGTTGAGCTGTAGGTGTCTTTATGCATTCTGGAAGCCAGATCCTTACCCCATGTATATCATTTGCAAATACTTTTCCCATTCTATAGGTTGTCTTTCCCCTTTCTTGGTAGTATCCTTTGATGCACAAAAGTCCTTGATGGTTTTCAGTGGAAACTGAGCATAGCAGTGAAAAATTTTGAATCACAAAAGGACAAAGTCTTTTCCTTCTTTATTGTCCTCCTGTCTTCCTCAGACTCAAAGAGAGACTCACTTTGGGTTCGGTGTGTCTTTAACATCTCTGAGACGTGCTAATCTACCTTTTCAACACAAGGACAGCAGGCTCTGACCCAAGGGCCTCCATTTCATAGCCCTCCTTCCTCCCCATCCCTGAGCTGATTATTAAGCTCATCTCTGGGTATGGCTAGCAACGCTGCTTTTCCCATTTACACGAATGAAAAGAGTTCCTTTTTAAATACACATATTTGATTTTTTAGAAAAAATGAGTGAGGGATGCCTGGCTGGCTCAGTCAGAGGAGCATGCAACTCTTGATCTTGGGGTTGTGAGTTCGAGCCCCACGTGGGGTGTAGAGATTACTTAAGTAAATAAAACTTAAAAAAAAAAAGAAAGAAGAGAAAAATGAGTGGATGATGTGACTGTTACAAGCTTGTGAAGGTGGTAAGAGAACTCGGGGGCACTGCTGCAGACCCCAGGAAGGATCCCTGAGCAGGCCGCAGGTGAGGGGCATGTGAGGTCCAGCAGTCTGGTGATGGGGCGCAGAGCAGATGGACAGTGCTGGCCTGCCATTACTGACTTGTCCTCACTGTGTTCTGGGACTCGTACCAGGCACCATGCTTCACTCTTCCTCCCTGACTCCTGACTGCCGTCGGGTGAGGGAGAGAAGGTCTTGGCCTTCAGGGCACAGGAAGGTGTGAAGTTTGCCTGAGAGAAGAACGTGGTGGGATGTGGTGACTGATGGATGTGGGACATGAGGAGGGAGGAGAGTCCGGAAGGATCTGGAAGGATCTGGAAGGATCCTGCAGCCAATGAAGGGAGACATGGGCAGACAGGAAACTGGATGCATTTTTAGAAACCCTTTTTAGTTTCATGGGGCTGTTGTAAGACATTAAGACAAACTTGGTGGCTTAAAACAACAGGAATGTGTTCTCTCATAGTTCTGGAGGCTGGAGGTGTGACACTAGGTTGTCAGCAGGGCCCCGCCGCCTTTGAAGGCTCCGTGAGGGACTCCTTCTGTGCTTCCTCCAGCTTGGATGGCTCCTGGCCAGCCCTGGATTCCACGGCTTGTGGCCGAATTACTTCATCTCCGCCTCGTCTTCACATGACCTTCTCTGGGGGACACGTGTGTATCCTCTCCTCTCTTCCAAGGCCATCAGACATTGGTTTTAGGGCATATCCTAACCCGTCATGACCTCATTTTCACTGAACTAATTATATCTGCAGAGACCCCGTTTCCAAATAGGTCACATTCTGATGTTCCAGGTAGGCATGAATTTGGGGGGTGGGGGGGACACAACTCAACCCATACAACACCCATTGCCAGTTGGCAGTTTCTCCTCTTCCACTGAAGGTCTTGGGGGTGGTGATGATACCATTGAGTTTCCTAGACCAAACCTAGTGCATCCACCATCTCTCTGGAGTTCTGGCCTCAGCTGGGGCCACACCACTAGCATCCCTGGGTGCAATTTCACAGACCAAGAGGAAAATGGATTTTCCCAGGCAAGGTTAAATCAGAGCACAAGAATCAACCTCGAGGTGCCTCTTAGACACTTAGATAATTCTGACATGAAAATCAATGCTTAATCTAAGTCTCTTTCCTCCTGTCTGAGTCAGATAGAAATTAGGAGGTTTACAGTCTTTCAAGCTTGTTAAATTATGTTTACATAGTTTCTAGATGCAGATAAGAGATGGAGCAGTATTTATGCTGTGTTAGTCCTGGGTAGCATCTTTATTGAAAACGTCCCTGCATGGCCTGGGAAGACTCCTTGATTCAGGGCGGCTGTCCTTTGCTTCTGACAGCCTAACTTTGCCAGGCCTGGGCTACACCAAACCGGAGATCAGGAAATACTTGGGTGGATAAAAGAATGAAGAAAACCTACCCCAGGACACTCGAAGGGGCTTTTCTGAGCTCCAGAGACGGTGCCAAGTGCCATGAAACAATCTTTCACCAAAAAGATCATTTCTTTGACAGCTCTGCCCTTCCCTCCTCCCTGTTGTCCTTGGATTTCAAATAAAAAGGACGTTCTTTGCTCAAAAGGGTTTGATACAGCTGATGTCCAGTCTGACTGTTCTTAAACAGGTCAACCTTTATTTGACCCGAACATTTCTAAACACAATTGAATAAACTCCGTTTCTCACGGCCTGTTTCCTATTTTCCTGTTAACCTGACTTTCTAGCAGATTCTGACATTCATTTCTTTTGAGGTCTCTTTCCTTGCTTTTTTTTTTTTTTCTGGTAACAGAACAAGGAATTCTCAAAGGACATAAAATTCTGTGATTCTGTATTGATAAATATTTGAGGAGATGCTGCTAGTGTTTATAGAGACATTGGTTGGGGAGAAACAAAGCTCAACTCAGGCTTTTTTTTTTTTTTTTTTTTTTGGTAAACCTTTTGGCCATTTCATTCACTCACTAAACAAGTATTTATTAAGTACCCATTTTAGGATGCAAGGGCATTTCCCAGGTATAACAGAATTGAAATGAAGTTCTGAGTGGAGATATTTGGAATCCCAAACCCACAAAGTGCTAACATTGGTTAGTGCCAAAACAATTCATAGATTTTGGGGGGTGGGGCGGAAGTGAAAGTAAATATTTTCAGTGAGTCTTTGGAATTTACAGAATGTGTCCTATTTGTCCTGAGAGGAAATGTTTCTCAGTTTAGACAGAGTCCCATGCTTCCCCCGCTTGTCCTGGTAAAACCTTACAGAGTTTCAGAATAATTCCCAGGTCTGATGAGCTCACTGTGACTGTGGATTGGTTGTGTTCAGACTGCCTAGGTTTGAATTCAGGCTCTTCCAGTTGACAGCTGGAAAGCCTGGGGCAGGTTTAACTTCTCTGATCCTCCAAGTCCTCCACTGCCAGGCGTGAGGAGAGCCTTGTACGTGTCCGAGAGCTGCTGGAAGGGTCAAGGGTGTGTGTGTGTAACGTGCATGGAGCAGTGTCCACGCCAGAGCACGTACCCTGGAAATGTCACTGTTGTGACCAGGACCATCATTCGCCCTCATCTGTCCCACTTCTAGAAATGGCTGCCTCTGAAACAAGGGTGCCTGTTCTGTCCCAGGTACCCAGTTCCTATGCAGGTAAACTTGCTGTGTCCTACTGCTGACTCGCCATCCTCCCTGCTGCTCCCAGGCGCGGGCTTGCACTGGAGGTGGTAGCAGCCTGCCCCCTCATCCCCTGGGAAGGAGGCTTCTCCCCCCCCCCCGGGGGAGCGGGGCAGGCTCTGTGCCGGGGGTGCCTGCAGAGTTCCCTGGCCCGTGCACCTGCCAGGGGATGAGGCAGGGCTCTCTCTGCCTGAAATAGCCTCCTTTCAGGAGGGAGAAATCCTAGAGATTCTCAGCAACTTTCAGGGGCCAGGAATAAGGCCTTAAAATCCAGTCCTGTTGTCTCTAAATCCAGCTGATCAGTGTCCTTTCTCCGGGGAGGCTGGGGGACTCTGGAAGGGAGGCAGTAGCCGACGTGGGCTAGTGGGAGGCGAGCATCCTCCTGTGCTCCCGGCGTGACAAGGGCCCACCTGTCTGGTCTTTCTCAGCTCACACAAGCTGAGGTCACATCTTCTCTGGCCTTTCTGTCCTGACCCCTGCCACTGGCCAGGGGTGTGAGAAGGAGTGGGAGCAGGGGAGACTCCAGAGCAGAGGCTGCAAGGTTCTGGCCCTTTCTCAGAAACAGATGAGCCGGGTATGATGCCTCCAAAGGCACAAGGCAGCTGGGCCACATTCTCCTGCTGCCACATTCCTCTGCTTCTTCTGTGGTTGTGTGGCCAGCCAGCACATCAGTCAGCAAGGCCCAGTGCTAAGCCCAGAGGTGACAGAGAGACAGGAGGGGAGGTCTCTGGTCTGGCTGGTACTGGGACGCCTCATGTGTCCTCTGCAGATCTTACCAGGATAAGCCTCTCCTTCTGGGATGGCTTAGGAAGCCACTGTTGGTGCCTCCCCTGTGGTGTCCTGCTGTCCAGGCCCTCAGAGCAGCCCTCCCCCTTGTGTCCAGGAGGTGCAGCGTCCAGGCAGGGTCTCGGGTGTCCAGCGGAGGACATGTCCCCAGCCACGGCTCCATGAATGCCGTTGGGTGTATGAACCCAAGACTTCTCACTGTTCCGGAACCTCCTGGTCATGCTGAAAGCTTATGTCTCTGGGACTGAAAACTGCCTTAGGTTTCCTTCCCTGACTCACAACATCAGAGTCTATTATAAGAGAAAGAAAATTGATTCTGTTGCTTCTTGTTTGGCTGCCTTTGAGCTGAACATATTGTAAAGTGTTTATTCACATTCCAGAAAGGGTGTGAAGGGCTTTCTTCTTATCTTACAGACTTTCCCCAGTGGCTCAGTGAGGTCACCATTTTGCTCATTTTATAGGCTCAGAGACGGAGCGCGCTGACCCAAGGCCACACAGATGGTGGCGCCGAGCCCAGGTCTCCCCGAACGGGTGGCCAAGCTCCGGGCTGCTGGGAGAGCAGCAATGGCTTAAAAGATGCTGAAAAGAATTCAGTAATTTGGGGTTTCAGACCTGGGATTCTCTAATTCCTAACTGTTTAAATAGATTGATTGTATTGAGGGGGATTTGTTCAGCACATTTCTGTTTGGTGGTTTCATACTAAGACACAAAACGTCTCTTGTGGTTGAGCATAGTGACCTCACGTCCATCCGTCTGTCCCAGTCAGGTGGACATCCAGTGGAGCATCCAAGTCTTAACACCTTGGGCAGAGAAAGAGGACACTGTGGGTAATTATGCCGGCAGTGGGCACGAGGCAAGACTGTCCAGGACGAGTGGGCACATGGTCACTCTGCTCAAGGACCCGCCACATCAGTGGGGGGCCATTTGTGCATCCCTCAGTCGTTCATTCAGCAGGCCCTCTGGGCAGCCCCTAAATGGCCATGAAGCCTTCTTCCCCGGTGTGGGGGGCTGCTACCACCCCCAGTGCCGCCCTCTGCTGGCCGGGAACCAGACCCACCCGTCCTAGCCTCTGTAACCACTCTGCACACCTGGCCTTGCTCATTCATGACCTTGGATCCTTGAGCTGGAGATCCCTCTGCATTTTACCGCAGAGGCAACTTGCCTGAGCTCCCACACACAGCAGGTGGCAAAGCCAGGGGGCTCCCAAAGCAGATCCTTGCTGCGTGCGCTGGAGGCAAGAGAGGCTTGGCTTGGGCGACTGACATTTTTCCTTTGACGGAGGAACAAAATAGCTGCTCCCCTCTCTGGGGCACACCCCATCAGGGAGGGTCCATGCTGTCCACTCAGTCTGGCTCCCGGGCTCCCCTCCTCACACAGACTCCCTCTCCCTCCCTGCCTTCCTGCCTTTCTCTCTCTGTCCATCTTTCTATCCCTGAGGCTTCCCGAACACAACCATCACACCTAGCAGTTATCATCGGTGGGTTTATTACATAACTGACAACTGGTCCGTTAAGCGAGAGGGCAGGCAAGAGACAGGTGGGTCCCGAAGTTGTCTGTGTTCATTGTCACCTCTGTCCTTGTACAGTGCTTTGTTTGTATATACTTTGAGTTACCGTTTCCAGTACAATTAATTTTCATATGAATGGGAGAATCACTACTGCGAGAACCGAGTCAACTCCCTGGATGTGGCGTGTCATCCGATTTATTAGTTTTCCTCTCACTTCAGGCAAGGGCAGTCCATTCCAGGGTTAAGTTTCTTGACGGAGGTAGAGATAATGGATCCACAGATTATAAAATAAAATCCCAGGCTGGAAAATGGGTGTGAGAGTACCTGTTCAGGAGAATTCACGTGCATCTTATAATGACAGCTGCTAGTTAATCAGCATCGTGAATGGAGAGAAAAATTGCTGGAGAATAAATGTTTGCCCTGGCATCCGGTGCGCCGTTTTTTGGGGGCGTGCAGGTACCAGAAGCCTCGTGTCTGGAGTGATGCAGGAAAGATGCTGGATGCGTGAGAGCCTGACCTTGCAGGAGGTGGGAGTGGGAAGCATTTTGGTCCTGGCCCCGGAGGACCAGGCAGATGCCCGCGGACATTTCTCTGGCTTCCCCGACGGCGCCACCTGCTGGTCATCTCTGCCATCGCATCCAAGTGTCCAGCGAGGACGCATGCGTGGATACCATGGTCCTCCTTGCTTTGCCTTGCCTTGCCTGCATCCCTGATGCTTTAAAATTCGGAAGAAAGTTGAGCCAATAAAACAAAATGTGAATTATGATACTTTGATCACTTGAAACCCCCTTCGCGGACACTCCAGTCACTGGGCTTCCCCTTTCTAACACCATGCTTGTTATTATGAGTCTATCTGCCCCGTTAGGAGGTGAGGCTCCTGGGGGCACACCTGCATGCCCCTGGGGGTACCTCAGCTGGTGCCCAGCAGGAGGAGAAGCTCAGCAACTGTGGGTGCCGCCTTTCAGGGCCCTGAGCACCGGTATGGGGCTGTCGCTGCCCCTCCCACCAGCTCTGAGACCCCATGTGTGTCCCCACAAATCCTGACAGGCAGGCACGGGGCCCCCAGGTCACAGAGGAGGAGGGTCTTGGAGAAGTCAGCTACTTGGCCCCGGTGACAGGTAGAGGACCCAGGTGTGAATCCAAGGCCACCTGTCTCCTGTGTCAGGGCTCTGCACCTGGCTGGCTGCCTCCTGGAGCCTCCCAGTGAGTTGCAAGGGCTATTGTGGGCAATGAAATACCCCGGGGGATTGCTCTGAGGTCACAGTCACTGAATAGTCCGGCTGTTCCCTGACCCATAAGCCCAGCTTCTCCTGACCCTGTCTGTGAGAGCAGCCCCAGCAGCCCCAGGAGCCTAAACACTTACAGTATCCACTGATAACTTCTCCAGGCTTTGCTGAAAACAAGTAAAGCTTTTCACCAAGGCAGGAGCAGCAAGAGAGCCTGACCTCAGAAGACAGCTGTACACTCAGCTTTCTCCCGAAGCCATGCCGTTGACTGTCTGGATTCCTGCTCAGTTCACTGGTCATCATGCACCCTTACTTCACGCTAGGTGTGGGAGCGGCATCATTTCCTGCCTGTGGCAGCTTCCCAAAGGCAGGGATGGGGTTTTAGTCCCTGAGCATCTCCAGTACCCGGTGTATCTGTGTGGAATGCAAAGGCTGGAGCCAGCTTTCAAGTGGTTTGGGTCCAGCCACTCCATGCCCCCACCTTGACCGCACTGAAGTTCTTTTAAGGGGACAGCTGGTCTCCCTGGTCAGAACAGAAATCCCTTGAAGGCAGCATCTCTGTCTAATCTTGTTGATTAAAGAAGGCCTCCTTCCATGGTCTGTGTCCAAAAGATACTCAGTAAATATTTGTTGAATGAATAAACAAACAAATCTCTATTACTGGCTCCTGGTTGCACTAAAATCAGCATTTCTTTAAAAATTCATGAGTGTCATAATGTTTCCCAGTGTGAGAGCAAAGCATTTTATGAATTTTCTATTAAAGAGAAGAGTATCTATTTATTAATATTCCCAAAGGGTAGCTTTTTTGGTTTACTGCTGTGTTGCTGTTATAATTTTCCATAATTATACGGTGTTGATTGTAGTTTACTGATAGAGCATCAATAAAGAAAAATGTAACCCTGGAACTAGATTACTTAAAGTGTTTAGCCTTACCAGATGGAAACTAATCATTTAGCTGGCTGAAAGGTGGCAAAGAGAATATTCTCCCCCAGAACTGTAAGGAGAGGGAACGTGGAGTTGCTCTGCAGGTCTGAATTTGTGTGGTCAAAATAGCAGGTAGGGGCTCTGTTAGAAAAGGTGTTGGAATAATTTAGGAATGGAAGGAAGTCTTACTTCTGAGTGTCCCTGGAGGTTGGTGGTAGAAGGATTTGGATAGAAGTCAACATTACGGGGTGCAGCCTGTTGAGAGAAGCAGTCCTGTAAAGAGTCCCACAGTTGACTGAGGAGGTGTGTGCAGGGAGGTCATTGAGGGCAGGGCTATGTTTAGCTTGTTGACCATTGTCCAGCAAGTGCAGGCAAATCGCTGAATGAATGGGTCTAGCTATGGTGGACTTCATTCACTGAGACCCCAGTGGGAACCTGCTTCAGCCATCCTCTAGCTGTGTGACTTGGGCCAAATTGCTTTTACTCAATGGTTGTGGTCATTGATGATCTAGGAGAAGGATTTTAATTACTCCTTTCCAGATTGGCAGAGCGTAGGATGAGGGGCTGAGAAATTGGTCACTGCATCATGTACGTGGCACCCAGGAGGAGGCCCTGGGATACCCGTTTGCAACATTATCCCGTGAGCATTCAGCCTGAGGGTGTCAGGAGCCCTTGCACCTCACATGTTGCCTGGGAAACGTGAGCCGTGCCACCCAGGGCAGGCATAAAGTGGCCCCGGCTTTCAGAGGGGACCCTGGCCCCCATGTCCCCTCCAGGCACAAATGGGACTGTATATCCTCATGGTTGGGGTGTCCAAGGAGGTTCTGAAGCAGCTTCTTTGAGTTATAAAATGTAGAGAGTTCTTTTCTTAGTTGCAGTTTGTGGGCAAATTTTCTTCCACATAACCAGAGGTGTGGTTATAAATAATTCATGCTCATTGTTTGGCCCAATTAACATTCTTCAGAAGATGGGGGCAGTTCTTTGAAGTTGGTTCTTCTTGAGGGACAGCAACACACCCTGTTGGGTTGGGCCAAGCTTCTGCCCTAATTAGATATTTACACAAGAGACCGGAGCGATGAGGGTGGATTCATTTTTAATAAAAGAAGATTAAAAACTGTGTATGTACAGCATATTAAGGAAAAGCGAACCAAATTAAAGTCCTCCCACAACTGCGGACAGTGGTGGCCTGAGAAGGGAGATTTCACTTGGAATTAGTAAAATTTCTTGCTTTGAGACAAGAAGACATTCAGGCCTCCCCCCACCCTTCCCTCTGCCCTCCCCCCACCGCTCGTCAGCATCCTCCGGTGGAGTCCTGAGTGAGGGTTGCGGTATTGGGCAACCACTGGAAATCTGGAGATGGGGGCCATGTGCCCATGTGTGGGGTGGCAGCCACAGGCTGTGTGAAGGAGTCAGGTGGGGGTGACCCGGCGGGGACTGGGGCCGAGTGGGGGCCACATGGCACTCTGCAGATAGTCTCATATTGAGGACCAACCCCTGCAACCACACACAAAAGCAGACCAGACCTGGTTTTCCCAAGAGAAGCCAGATCTCCAGCCTTTATGTGGACTCTCCTCTTTTTAAATATTTCAGACTAATTTAAAAGTGTTTAAACCACAAGCATACACCCACTCCTTGAACTCAGCAATTCCACTTATAGATAACAAGCCCCAAATGTATGAGAAGTGTTCGTCCACAAAAAGACTTGTAATCAAGTTCATAGCAGCTTTGTTCATAACGGCAAAAAAATGGGGAACAACCCAAATGTGTATCCAGGGGAGAATGGGTAAGCCACCTGTGGCAGTCATACATGGAAAATTCTTCCCAGTAGAAAGGAAGAGATACAGGCACATACATCAGTCTCCAACACCTGCTGAAGCAAAGAAGCCAGACACAAAACCATACGTGCTGTATGGTTCCATTTATGGGAAGTTCAAGAACAGGCAAAGCTAATCATCTCTGGAGATGGAGATCAGAACAGTGCCCACCTCTCGGGGTCGGCGGAAGAGTAGGCTGATATTACAGCCTGGATGGCAGGGGGCATACGTTTGTCTGAACTCATCAAACCATGGGCTTCAAGTGTGTGCATGGACTGTATGTGGGTAGACCTTTTAAAAAAGGAAAAACTTCTGAAACACATCACAGGCCAAACGCAGGCTGTCTGTGGGTTGCCTTGGGTCTGCAGGCTCTGATCTGCGATTTCTGTGCTACGGTGAACTTTCACCCTTAGATCTGCAGCCCCGGGACCCTCCGTTTGCAGGTGGAGAAACACATCCCTCCCTAATAGCTGTCTGTGTGGTGTGGCTAGAAGCAGTTGTGCAAAAGCAGGAAGGTCCCCATCCCACCAAATCGCTGCCCACCCAGTGGTCCCTGCAATGACACTGGTTTGAATTTATTGCTGTGACTTGGTCTTTTAGAGGAATGTGCTCACCTGGTTCAGACCAAACCTTCCTGTCTTCCTGACTGGAAGATCCGTTGCTGGAAAGGTGCCTGTGCCGGCCAGGTTCTCAGGGGGATGGGGAAGAAGGGCATAATGCCCCCATCTCTGTCGTGGACCCAACGGCCAGGCATTTTGTGAGGTCCTTCCTTTTCCTTCTTTACTCTGGAATTGTTTAGCAAGTGGGGGCAGAGGATGATGTACATCTGAAAAATGGAAGGCAGACACATTCGTGCACATGGATTGAGCACCTGCTGTATGCCCACCAGACGGCTGAGCCAAGGGAGCTCAGATGCAGGGGGAGACAGACAAGTCAGTCAGCCAGGCTGCATGGTGGTGAGGAAGTGGCATGGGTACCGAGCACCCAGATCACCCGGGGGCACAGATTCCTGGAGAGTATGGCCTGGGTCCCAGAGATGAAGGCTGGAGAGGAGTTTGCCCAGCAGAGTCAGTGGGGAGGGGCGCTGGAAACACTGAGAGCTGGGAACTGCAGAATACAGGAGGTGAGAAGCCTGGCATGCTTTTGCTGGGGAGGGGGCACCAGGCACAGGGTTGGGGGTGGGGGGCTGCTGCCCCAGCTGGCCCACCGAGGAGTCTGGGCTCAACCCTCCAGGCAGCAGAAGCCACTGAAGAGGAAGATATGGTGAAATCCACCCTTTTTGAAAATCACTCTAAAAGCTCTACGGGGTGGCCGAGGGGACAGTCTGGGGATCAAGGCACAGGAGGGGTCTGCCCTTCATTTCCCCTGGGACACTTGAAGCCAGGTCACTACACCAGGCAGGGCCACAGGGTCCCACATGCAGATCCGGCACAAAACCTAGTGGGCTTCTCATGCCCACCACATGGCTCGTTAAGACACCTGGTGTCTGCCCTTCATACTCACCCCCCACTCCAGGTTGAGAGTGGGCTCTAGAAATTTCCAGAGAGCAAAGCACAGTAGTATATTCCAGAGGTAACCAGAGCTTTGGGGTGGGGAACATGCGAGTGACTTCCTGGATCCGTCCTGCCCCCTCTGTAAATGCAGATCCAGTGCTGCTGGACTCTAGCTGGAGGGGAAGCTCTGATCCAGCCCAGCTCTTGGGGTCGCTTGCTCTTCCGGGGGCTGCCAGGCATGAAATAGGAGGACCAGTGTGCACAGTGGTCCCCAGCTCTAAGCCACACTGTCACCATTGTCTCCTAGCTCCATGCCATTCTTGCTCTCTTGGATTTCCCATCTCGAGGTCCAGTCAGAATAGGTCTCAGTGACCCAGCCAGGATCTGCATTCGGGTGGTCTCAGCGATGCACGCGTGTCTTCTGTTCCTGGAAGCTGAGCGGGACCAGAGGCCAAGTAGGCGAGCTTCTTGATGAGAGACGGGAGGAGAGGCGCCTCCCCGCAGCCTCCTGCTCTTCTGTGGTTGGGACCCTCGCCCCTCCGGGGTTAAGCCTCAAGCTACCCCTGCCCAGTGCCCCCGACCAGCCCTCCTGGCATCTGCTCCCCCTGCAGACGACTGAAGTCAGAAAACAGGACAGCTGGGAAGTGGGGGCCTCCCAGCCGTGGGGGTGTCCTGCCCCTGGGCTGCCCCGTCCTCCAGTCCACCTGGATCCTCCTCTAATGTCATGTTCCCTCTGTCCCTGTCTCTCTCACACAAGACACACAGACACACAGAGCATTTTTAGTGGGTTTCTAGAGAATGACTTCTGTCATGTGCACACTGCACCACGGAGACACCACATTAAAACCAGGGGCTCTAACAGGTGTGGCGCTGAGTGCTTCAGCTCAGCTTCTAGGGATCTCCTGGGTCCCCAGGCCCCACCTCCCTCTCCCGCCTCCCAGGCAGGATTGTGCAGTGGTTCAGACAGGGCCTTTGGAATCTGGGAGTGGCTTCGAATCCCAGCTCTCCTACTTACTGGACCTCAGAAGGCCTCCATGCCCATGCTGTTACTGCGGCATTCTGCTGGGCTTCCCATAGCCCTGAAGCTCTGGGGGTGTGGGGGGATGTCAGGACCAGACCTGTTCCAGGTTTTTCTTGTTTCTGCAAGATACCATAATGGCCAGCTATGGGATTTGCCTCAAATAGGTAGATGTGGGGCGCCTGGGTGGCTCAGATGGTTCAGCGTCTGCCTTCGGCTCAGGTCATGATCCCGGGGTCTTGGGATCGAGTCCCGCATCGGGCTCCCTGCTCCTTGGGAGCCTGCTTTTCCCTCTGCTTCTCTCTCTCTCCCTCTCTCTCTCATGAATAAATAAATAAAATCTTAAAAAAAAAAGACTCTAAAAAAATCTTAAAAAAAAAAATAGCTAGATGCGGCACTGAGAGTATTAGCCTGGACATGGGTTTGCCATTCTGTGGCTCTTCAATTGTGTGTCCTGCTTAAGCCCAGTTCGTTCATTCGTTCATTCATTCATTCATCTAATAATTTGTCCACCAAACATTCCTGAGCATCTAACCTGGACCCTGGGGTTGTCCCCCAAACCCCTCCTGGGGTCTCAAACCAAAGCCAGATTGGTGAGTTGAGGTAGGGATTGGAAGGGCTGCCAGGCTGGGTCCTGTAGGGGTGCAGGGTGCACAGCATGCAGTGTGCCTCCTGGGAGGACCCTTGCCCCCTTATATCTGTGCTGGGAGGATGGATGGTCAAGAGGGACAGTCTACCTTTGCTCAACCCCCCCGTGATGCTCCCTTTGTGAACCCTTGTTACATCCACAAGGAAGCATGAGAGTCCTCTCCGGAGGATCGGGATCCTTCCCTTGCGCTCCCCAAAGGCTTTGCTAAGAGATGGGGGTGGTGCAGCTATGTGGCAAAGGCAACTGTGTGTCTAGGAAGGAGAGAAATTGTGCTCAAAGCAGAGGTAATTGCTGTTTACCAGCAGACCTTCTTACTGAGGGGTCAGAATGTAAGCCGTGTCATGATGTAACCTCAAGACACCGTGAAGCGTGCGATCCTCACGTTGTTCTTGGCTCAAGTTCTTCATCTGGCGCGAATGCAAATCCATTTCTAACTGACTTGGTTTCGCTGATTGATCTCTTGATCCCAAGTTCAAATATATAAGCAGATCACAAATAGAAGCAGTTTTTTCATTAAATTTCTGCTCTTTGGCCCCCCACAACCAGAAATCTACTTAAGGACATTTTAGCACAAAAAACAAAACAGAACAAAAAACAACAACAAAAACGTGCCTAGGGTCACCGTGGCTCAGTATTTAGGTTTTAGAGCATGCAAAACTAGATAAATCTGCATCTGTCCTCTCCTCAATTTATATTTAAAAATGTGTGTGTGTGTGTGTGTGTGTGTGTGTGTGTGTGTGTGTGTGTATCCAAGTAAAATACCTCAAAGCAAACGATTTGGCTTTGCCACAGTAACTAAATGGCCAGTAGCTTCTGCGATCCTGAGGCTGGTTGGCCAACTTCGCTGGGATGCACCAGCCCTCCCCGTGTCTGCCCAGCTGGTGCCCTGGGTTTCCACTTGCACATGGATGACGTGATGGAGAATAAATAATCACAGCTGCCACTGTCCCTCCTCCATTCTAAGGTTTTAGCATGGGCTTCACTGGGAGTGATGGAATTTAGTGGGAGCCCTGTGGTTGGATAGGAGTGCGTTAGCCAAATTTCAGCCCTGCAAGCGTGGCGTCTTTCTTCACGTGGAGTTGTAGTGAACTCAATGAGAGAGCGTTGTCCCCACAGCCTTGCAGACCCTGCCTCTCCAGTGGCAGAGGGCGTCCATTCGTTCCCCATGTCTTGTGCTGGCCGCCGAGGAGACTGACCTCACTGGGCAACGATGGGGGTCTCTGACATCCTGTGAGCCTCTGCAGTGTGAACACACCCCTGTGTGATGGAAAGAGGCTCACTAAACTGAGTCAAGCTGAAATTAATGGAAGCTAAAACACCATGATTGGCTGGCGCCTTGTTCTGGAGCAATGTGCGGTCTCAGGATGGTCTCCTGTCCTCAGGCCACCTCCGTCCTTCCCCCGGGGAGTGGGTGCTCAGGCATGCAGGCTGTTCCCAGAATATTAGCACAGTTCAGAGCCCTGGTAAGAAGGTAAAGCTACTGCTGTCAGCCTCCCCAAGGATGTGATGCCCTGCAAAGCCAAGTGTGTGCATTCATCCAGTGCTCCATCGCCCACTCCTGTCAGGAACCCCAGGAAGACGGAGCTCTCTTCTTGTTACATTGTGCCCAAGAGTCTTGCCACAACCCGTTATAGGTGCCTGCCAATAGGGAGAGGGGAGGGGTCCACAGGCACCTTTAAAAATGCCCTTGGGGGAGAAAAAGAAACAAAATATTGGAGTTCCTAGTGTCCTACTGGATCTTTCACCATTTGCTTCCGATGAGGCTGCTTTTAGGTGAAGGTTCAGCATCTTTGTTTGACTTTTATGTTGATTCCACATTCCTTTCCCAGGACTTTGATTTCCAGTGTAATCAGCTGCAGTTTTCAGGAATGATTCTAGAATATGCATTTAGGTATCAGTCTCTGATAGAGTGGTGTGCCCAGGCGATTGGCGTGTTTGCTGAGACAAATTAACCCAAGGTTGCAGTGAGATGATCTCACCATGTAGATGGAGGACGTTGGTTTATCATGGCATTGGGGGCTGGCGTGGAGAAGGCAGGGCTTCCCTGGGCAGTGGCAGGTGCTGGGCCCTGGACGTGGGCGAGACCGTGAAGTGGTGTGGGTGAGGGTGGCATTTGCCTGGGACAGCCGTGTGAGCAAGGGTCAGGAGATGACAGTTGGGACGGAAAGAAGCCACCATTGCCCAGGGTCCCCCTCCAGTCATACTGCTTTGGCAGGCTGTCGCATCTGAACATCTCTGTTAAAATACTCTGAGTGCCTTTCCCAGGGAGTAAAGATCACCATTCAGATTTGCTACAGATAAATCGAGAGCGCCCTCCATCAGGGCCAAGACCATTTCTGATTGGAAAAGTAACAAGAACTGATAGCGTATTGAGGGCAGGGTCCTTGGTTTCTATTAATTATTGCCTACTTACACCTGTACAGGTTAACTTGCTGTCCTCTGGGCCCTTTTCCCCTTCTGAATTATAGTCTGTTCTCTAATAATAATTTGGTCCCAAACACAACTGTCTTGTCGCTGCTGAGGTGGTAATTTTTAACAAATAAAGAGTTCAGTGAAGTTATTACATTGCATGTGAAATAACAATCTACAAGCTAACTACATGTGCAGAGAAATTAATTATTGTTAGTTTGTGAAGCTCATGAGCAATTGTGAGACATTGTACATCGTTCACAGTATTTGAGATGACACAGCAAAGCCTTCATCATCCTTGTTGGTTATATGGGAATGCTTTCAGGAATCAAGAGTTACCAAGTAGGGGTTTCCAGGGGTTCCTTCATTTGTTCTTTCAAAATAAGAGGGATGTTTTCTTCAATGGGGAAAATGTATCCATAAAGTCTAGCTATAGTTCATTCCTGTCTTATTTGTCCCCAGCTATGGAAACATGGTAAGTTTCCTCTTCTGTAACCGGTGGGTGAGTGGTCAGTGGGTTTGTTGATGATTAAATGAAGTCAAGAATGTCATTAGGATCAGTGAAAATGTGCCTTTGAGAAGCTTCCTTAGATCTGTGGTTCTGTTGTCTTACTGCAGTGGAGGACTTCATTCTTACAGAATAACATCTTCACTTTTATTCATCTTCAAGAGGGCAAGGCGCATAATTGGAATTATGCAAATTAGTGTGTGGTCCATAGGAGATTGAAATTGAAATGATCCCTTAACGGACTTACTGGCACGCCACCGTTCTTACCAGTCCTTGCTGGTGGCCCAGGTAGAGTGCTGCCCTGTCCTCAGGAGGATCCTTTGCCTGTGCTGATCCAGGGCCCTGCTCAGGAGGGGCGGGCAGGAAGCCCCAAGTGGACCAGTACATCGGAGGTTGTGATTCGCGGGGGCTTTACATTTTTCTTGTGTACGTATGGGGTTGTTTTTCTTTTTAATTCTTTGATGAAATCAGTTTCAACATGTAATCCAGAAATGTGCACAGGGGTGTTTAGCAGTGTGTAATATAATAAAGCACTGAAATGAGCTATAAAGGACCTTTTATTCTTAAACATAAAGGATTTTCTAAATTCTTTGAAGACCAATTGCCACTCTGTTACTATGTCAGCATCAGGGAGGAGGGCCAGTGGAACCCACAGCGAGGATGCTTTGCTTAGCATTCTCTGGCCCTTCCTTTAATGAGCTCCTCCTTTGCTCAGGGAAACCCCTTCTCCAGATTCTGAGCCTCCCATAAAGGAGGTAGGTTCTGCCCCTGCCCAGCTGGGGATGGCATAACAATACATATTTACTGGCCTACTTTGTGGAGGAGTAAACTGAGACCTCATACCTACAGCTACCCACTTCTTTTTGTTTTTCTGTTTTCTAATCTAATAACTTGAGTTTCCAAGAGACCGGTCAAATTTGGGCAGAGGTTGAACTTAGAGTCAGATCGTCCACATTTCATGCTCTCTCTCTTCTAAAAGTTAGCCACTCATTTAACACATCATTCTTGTTCTTGAATGGAGAGACTAAATCACAGGAGTAGGCTCAGGAGTCGGGCAGACATGGGAGTGAAGACAGACCCTCCGGCCCCTGTGCCCCTGTGTCCCTGCAGACCCTGAGGGTTCTGTGTGCTGCTCCCCAGGGTGCCTTCTTGGAGTCCCCAAAGCTGCATGGACACAAGAGATAAGTGACATGCCACCAGGACAAGAAAGAAAGTGAAATTAAATGTGACATGGTCTCCGTTCTGTCCTAAGGAACAAGTTACCCACTTGTTCGGGGGAAAAACAGAAAATTGAGTGGATAAAGATCTATGTCCAATCACAATGTCAAATGCAATTGACCTTGCTAAACGGGATTTCTCTGAAGACTTTTAATTTTAGCTGGAGCAATCCTCAAACCAAGCCTGAGATGTTTGAAACAAAACTCCCATTCTACTGTGAAAACATCCAGATTCCCCAGGAGCCCCTTCTCCTTGTGAGGGCCTTTGTTTTTTGTTTGTTTTTGTTTTTGTTTTTTGTATCTCCATTTATTTATTTTTATTTTTTTTTCTATTATGTTATGTTAGTCACCGTACAGTACTTGGTAACCTGAAACCAGACATAGGGCGTGCTTAAACCCTTTTGTACCTAAAAACAGGCAGTCCTTTTGTCTTCTGGAAATATCCCTGTGTCATTTACCTGGCAAAATATATTTTCAGATGCTATTTCATGAGCTGGTTTTATTTCCCCTAATTAAAAGGAAGAGTAATGAGCTTTGCTGAAGAGTCTTTTTTTTTTTTTTTTTTCCTAATGACTTGAGAACTAATGGCCTAAAAATACGAGCCTATCCATTATTCCGGACCATCTAACCTCACCCAGTGTTGGCAGTGAGGTCCCCCTCCTGGGCAGTCCATGAGGGCACTCCCACCTCCCAGACTGGCCTACTCACTCAGAACCACCTGTGGGTCCTCCAGGAGCTTTATTTAATTCTCTGTGGCTTGTCTTAGGGATGCGCTGTGTCTCGGGAATGCGCCGTGTCTCAGGGATGTGCCCTGTCTCGGGGATGCACCAAGAAGTAGGCAAGGTCCCAGGAGGTCCTTCATGAACTCAGAGAAGAAGTCCCAATATACTTCCAGAACCATCTTTTCATACTGCTCACATGGAGGAAAAGCAAAATCAAGAACCCAAAGAGCCCCCCTTAATCTCCTCTGTCTACTTGGCCAACAGCTCTCTTGGGTGAAGGCATTCCATCCAGGCCGGGAGGGCCGAGCCTGCGGTGACCTGAGGAGAAGGAGCTCCCCTGTGCGGGGCTCACGGCAAGGTTGCAGGCAGGCAAGGGCAGCCAGGGAGGGCGGTCTGTTAGGAAAGGGCTGATTCCAGCGCTCTGCTCGGAAGGCCCATTGAGACCTCCTAAGATAGACTGTCTGTGCTTAGTTTATCTCACTACTGCGTTGGGCCCAGTGATTTAAGTATAACGAGATCAGCTCCAGCTTGTGAAAATAATTTCCATCTCCTCATCTCTCTTTTAAGAAACACTGTCGCTTGGTGCTTGCATAGGAAGAGAAGGTGCCAAACAAAAACCAAAAATGCTGTTTTCTGGAAAGTCATTTAAATCCCTGTGCCTGGTTTCCTAACTGAGGAGGGAACTCGATCTGGGCGTTCTCTGAATTGTCCCTGCGTGGGTGTGGCAGCCCCAGATTCTGTGTGGCTGGTACCGGGTGG